ACAAAACATCAAGATTATAATGCAAAACCAACGTGCGAAAACCTGCTGGGTACATTTCAAATTACCTCGGCTATGGTACTCGTAAAATTGGGAAAGTTGGTTTCGGGAAAGTCTGCAGGTTGCGATGACATAAGACCATCCGTCCTGAAGCAGTGTTCAGAAAGTCTCTGCCGACCCCTAAGTGATCTGTTTCAACACTCCTTTGATGTAGGGAAACTTCCATGTGAATGGAAACGAGCCATCCTATCCCCTATCTTCAAGGGTGGTGACCGGCAGAACGCGACCAGTTACAGACCAGTCGCGCTACTCCCAGTGATATCGAAGATATTGGAAAGTCTCATTGGCGACCACATGAGAAAATACTTCGACGGGACTAACCTACTCCATGAAGCACAGCAAGGTTTCAGGAGGGGAAGATCCTGTGTGACGAATCTTCTACTAGCTTGGAACGATTGGACACTATCCTGGGATGTAAAGGTACCAGTCCATGTGATCTTTCTCGACTTCGCGAAAGCATTCGGCACAGTCCACCATGGTCTGCTCCTCCACAAAATAAGCAAGGCGGGTGTTTCTGGAGCACTTCTCGCATGGCTGAAAGATTACTTAGGCGAGAGAGAATTCTGCACCAAAGTCAACCGCATCCGATCATCCTGGCACACCTCGGCACCAGGGGTTCCTCAGGGTTCTATCAACGACCTGCCCTGTCAAATGAACTGCTCTGTGCTTCTTTACGCTGACGACGTAAAGATTTGGAGAGCAATAAACTCATCGGAAGACTCCGACAGATTGCAGGCTGACCTGCAAACTCTGGGGGACTCGGCTCTGGCTAACGGAATGCCTTTCAACCTAAAGAAGTGCAAAGTAGTGCAACTTCATTCCGGTAGGTCACAGAGTGTAAATTACACCCTTGGTGGCCAGAACTTGAGTTGTGTGCCATCAGAACGCGACCTGGGTCTTATTTTAACAGAAAAGCTAGACACCAGTGTAAATTACACGAGGGACGTCGCCAAAGCTTACGCAACTTTACACTTTATGCATAGGCAGCTGGGAGCTCTTACTCCCGAACTATTCTTAAGGTTGTATACGACATACGTGAGGCCACTCCTTGAGGTGCATAATATCATTGCTCCTCCGCTACTCAAAAGGGATGCTAACATTCTAGAAAGTGTTCAGAGACGAGCGACAAAATGGGTGATCGGCCTCCGCAACAAATCATATGAGGAAAGACTGAGGAAATTAAGTCTTCTCACACTTAGTTACCGTAGTCACAGGGGAGACCTCATCACCGTCTATAAGATCCTGAATGATCAGGCCCACCCTAATAAAAGCGTCCTGCCATTAAGTGATTATAGGCTTCCATGAGGTAGCCCGCTAAGGATAGCACAGCAGAGACCAAAGACTCGAGTGCGTTCACATTTCTTTTCGCTTCGAGTTTGCCGTCTCTGGAACGCTTTACCGGCGGCCGTGACTACAGCGCCATCTGTGGAGACTTTTAAGCGGAAGCTGGACAGTCATGCAGAAATGCATGGTTTGTGTCTCAATGGCTTATCCTCTTAAAATTTGAAACCACATTGTCAATGGATAAGCATACAAGCTAAATCCCCACGACCTGTCCTGTCTCCTCCCACTGTACCGACTACTCTATCTTTTCCTTAGGTCACCTTTATTATTTCACTTATCTCAACCTATATTATCTACACTACAGCCTGTTATTATTATTATTACTATTCTGCTTTTATGACTACACCGAATGACCAATGGGTGTTAGGTCAAACTCCATTCACGGCAGCAACTGAGTCCTAACATACTGCACACTACAAACCACATCTTGACCAATCCTCGCACCACTCCTCTTGGAGTCTACCAGAGCTAAAGCAGTCGAGTGGCGGGATTTACTACGCATAAGTTCACCGAAGATCTGGAACCTCTACCTTACAATCAAGAAGCGAGCTCAAAGAAATCACTGGTTTATACTAGCTCGTAATCAGGATATTGGATATTGGATGTGCTAAATGAATCACGATCAGCCGTGGAGAAACCATCAGATGACTTTCTAAAGACTGGGTTAAGACTTACCACAGGCGTGGGAATAAAGGTAAACAAGAATACACTGGTTGGCTTACAAATTGAATATTGGATATTGGCAATTATTCAAATTCTGACGTCTGGTGGGTGGTTTGGATTTATTCATATGGTATTGTGGTTTCATGGTATTTGACGTATTTCTAGGCTACCTAGTATTTGGCATTATAAAAAAGCTAAAGTTAAAACACACTTAATCCAATATATTTGCTCAGGTCGACTAGACACCAAATACAATCAGCCTGTATTTAAGTGTTCTTATGTTGTTGACTACCTTCTGAGCCACTTGTCTTTGCGAGTAGTCAGGGATAAATCTTTGTAAGCTTTTTTATTATTTCCAGAAGTTTTACAAATATAGCTGTGGCATATGTTACTATTCATCGTCCTACTGAGTGGTCACCCACCCTATCTCCACATGTGAAATTAGTTCTTATATTGAAATTTTAATTATCCCCATTAAAGACAAAGCTAAAATGGCCCACAAAACTCATACTTGTTCAAGTATCTGTAGGAATTTGTTTTCAACGTATGAACCAATGAATAGGTAGTTTGTTTGTTGTATCTTCTAAAACGTGTCGATATGAACGAGGCCGTCTTCGATCCAATCGTTTTTGTTTCCTTGATCCATAGTACTACGAAATTTGCATATCCGATAAACATAAAGAGTGACATTCCCAACTGGTGTTAGTCAAAATGATGCATTAAAATCAGCTAGAATATCTGAATAGTAAATACACTAAAAAGATGCTTGTGCTTAGCGAAGTGATTGTGGAAAAATTGTTCAAATGTGCATAGTTTTGTCATACTAAACAAAATTATTTGTGAATCTATCCATTACGGTAGTTGTTGTAGTTATTGCTTTTGATTGGAAGTTTCGTCGATTTACAGTTTAAGTTAGTTACTAATGTTTTCTACAATCTGGTAGACTACTGTTTGAACTCAGGTCAACAGACACGTAACAGTCAAGTATTTTGACTGGGAATTTTGTAGATTGCCCTTCTAAAAAGTGACATCCTAACAAGCCTCAACAATAAGTAAAACTGCAATCTGTTCTGATAATTTCATTTGAGTTCGTTGGTTTCTTGTTGTGCTAAGTACTAGTAAAAAGCTTGTTACGTACTTGGTAGTTTTCTTTGAAATCATATTAGTGTTTGCTCTGAGTTTGTTGTGCATAGAATGTACATCAAATAACACATTACCCATATTAATAATAAGTGGACGATAGTTGGTATAACACTTGGAGATGCTCGAAATATTACCAGTCAGATAGCTCGGCATTACCAATGCTTGCTAATCAAAATCCTCGTTGAAAATGTCTCCTAGATTTGGTTTTTGACTTCTCTGTGGAAAATTGGTTGATAGACAGGAATAAAACATGCATATGTAAAGGCATAATGACTCTACAAAAGTACTGCCGAACTATTTATGGTTATACATTTAGATGCAACCACTATATTACATGAGGTAGTCTGTACAAGTTGGTAAGTCGTACATAAGTGGTAATTTTTTTAGACACTTTCGTCTCGAAATCAAAGCTCTCCCTCAGTAATATATCGCGTATATGCAACCAGTATTTGCTACAGCTGGAGAAATAGAGAATACATTGGTTTGATATGTCTATAACCACTTCTATGAGAATCCGGGACCAGTTTTTGCAGCATATTAGAGATATATACCCTATATGATTCATTTTTATTACATATTGCAGATACGCTTCTTTGTAAATTAAGTACCACTTTCACGTAAAAGAATCTGATTGGCTGTTTCAAGGTCTATTCTTTACTGTTACCCCAAAAACAAAAATTTATCACTGTGTATAAACTACTGAAATATAGCTATAATTTAGTTTGAGGTGCAGACAGAATTTAATTGAAACGGTGCTACTTTTTATACACTTGAAAATTGTGTAAAATAATTGTCGTAGGTCACACTGACTTTGGTAGTTTATTTAATCGACAAAGGAAAGGGAGTGAGATGAGTTTAAACTTATTTAGTTGCCGCTGAAATGGTGTTCAAAAGTCATGATCACAGCAAGAAGTCAACTACAATCTAGCAACAGTAATTATTATGATGGAATTTCAATCAGTATAAATCCAGAGGAATTTAAAGCCCAGAAATCTTTATAACGTGCCTTCATAAACTATAAAATAGCAGCTAGTTAGTCTTAGCTGGAGCTCGTTCAAATTAGACGCCCATTACTTAAATCTGTTAGTTTTTATATCCGAAGTTTTACTGCTTCGTCAGCACACAGACCTTGATCGGCTGTCACAACTTACTGCTAAGAATATGTAAACCAATTTTCGTTAATCTTTCAAATATGCTCTAAATACTCCGTCTAATTAAGTAGAAGAGTTCGTGAATGATCTTCATTGTTAATCCTTAAAGGGAATTAGTCTGTTTGTCAGACACCAAAATTTCTGTCGAATGGCACCACATTCCTGAAGTTTTTGATTGTGTGCTATCGATTCGAGTTAAAATACAGATAAATCAAGCCATCTATTTTCAAATGCACTTTCTGTTGCAGGTCATTAAGTATGTCTTGTTATATATAGTGCTAGTTTATTTTTGGTGAGCCGAATTTTTACAATATTGATAAGCTATGGTACACTCTTATATGAAGAAATGTGGTCTTGATGGTTCTAAAAGAGGACCCTTGATCTTTAACTCATATTGGTTGTATGTATTGGATACTTAAGAGATGTTTAGTTCGTGCAATTTTCCTTTCATCCCTGCTATTACTGACTTATCGTATTGTTTAACTCATCAGACAATTAAGGTAGCTTCTCTTCAGCAATTTCTAAAGATGTTTCATTATTTTATACATGATTATCGTTAACTACCGTTAAAATATATTTGCTTTTCACAAGTATCTCTGCATATTTAACTTTACTTTTTATTTTACAGACCCACTAATCCCAATGGCTACTGTGATCAACGTTGCTGATAAAGAACAACTTGAACAAATTTTACAAGAGGCAGCAAATGTTGCCAATGGTCCAGCTATTGTAGTTATAGATTTCTATGCTACATGGTGCCATCCTTGTTCTGAAATAGCACCCATCTTTAAAGAATTAAGTACTAGGTACACGAAAATGAAATTCCTCAAAATTGATGTTGATAAACTTGAGGTAAATGTTAAGTGTTTATTAATTGACTTCTTTGAAACAATCACTATTAGGCGATTTGAGTTTGTACCACTTGGTATTAGTTCAGAGAGTTAGGTCAGTGTCAATAGTTATTTAAAGTGGAAACCCTTGAGCTCAAGAGTATCATTGACAGGTCACAACACCAGCTGACGTTTTTTACTCTGTACAAATCCAAGTTTCTAATTCTCTTGGTTTGGTTGATGTTTCCACGAATACTGACTGTGAGATATTGTCGGTGAAAGTCAGAAACTTTTAGGAACTGACTTCGTTTGACCATAGGTGTTGGTGTTCGGTTCTCTCTTGTTAAGTAATATAATATGTTTGGCTCAGCACGGATCCAAAAAGCTTGAGCTGCTTTCGCTAACTTACGCCATCTCTGGCATAGGCGTGACATTCGGTCATCAACCAAAGGACGTGTGTACTGCTCATCAGTTCGCTCCGTCCTTCTCTATGGCGGTGAGACGTGGCCATTGATAGCGGAAGACATGAAAAGGTTGACTGTTTTTGATGATAGATGTCTACGATCTCTTTCTCACGTTAGGTGGCATAATAAGGTAAGTAATGTTGACGTTAGGCGTAGAGTGTTGGGCAAAGAGGGAAAATCAATCGAAGAGGCTATAAAGTTACATAGATTGAGATGGCTAGGTCACGTGCTGCGCATGCCTAACCATCGTCTCCCCCTACCGACGGGCATTACTAGCTGATATAAGTACAGGTTGGAAAAGAGTAAGTGGTGGCCAAACAAAAACATGGCCTCATCAATCCATGAAATCCTTGACAGTTAAACTGAGTCAGGTAGGGAGGGAGATGCAGACTACCGGGTTGGGGCCCGCCCTCGGGACTCTAAGAATCAATGGCTGGAGACAATAGGCAACATGGCTCAAAATCGTTGTCAATGGCTTACGCAGATGTATTCAGTCTCTGTAATCTTTCATATTCCTTTCTACCATTACTCATTCTGTTTCACTCTTATACTTGTCAAAACTATTGATTCTCTTCACTCATTTTCTTGTCTACCTTTGTGTGCTATTTGGAATGTGGCAACTCGAACTGTTGCATTTCGGTGCCAAGTTTTATGTTGAATCCAGACAGACAGAATATGTTGAGTGTTATTAACGTCAGAAGTAGATTGTTAATCTAGAAAGGAAAGTCCAGTCGATGTGGTGGTTGTGAAGCTTCATTGATCATGGTGGCTACATGTGGTTTCACATGTAGATTAAGTGGTGCTCGAGGGAAACAAATGCGAGAAAACCAGGCAGGAAGAGGATGTATTTATCATATATGTATATATTGACCCTTCGACATATTAGTGAACGCAAGCATACTTACCAGCGTCTAACAATTGCCGTATTTTTTGACCTGAAAGCGGGATTTGACACTGTGTAAAGTTCTACAGTAAAAACTCAGTCAGTTAAATACTCTTCATTTTCATCTCTGTGAAATTGTTCACTGACACATTAAGATATCAAATAGTACTTCTGTCGTAGAGGCTATTTCACTTGGCTTTGAGGAAGCATTTTATAAGACTTAAGTCAGCAGAATAATGAAGATGAGTATTGAGAAACTGATTATATGTTACAAGGGTGATAATATCGTATTTTTTAAGAATAAAAACGTATAACAACCTACTTTCTTGTACTCCTGTTATTTTTCTTAGAGTACTGACTGACTGACTGGTTTCAACATAGAATTTTGCACAAAATTGCACCATTTCGAGTCGCCACACTCCCACCATGTAGCACACAGAGCAAGAGAAGAGAGTAAAGATAGATTCATCGAAATAGAGATAATATAAAGAAGTGTGAGGGAAAAAATAGTAATATGGATATGACAAATGACAAAGAGTGAATGCATGTGCGCCGTCCATTGAGAACGATTTTGAGCCAGTTATATCACCAATTTTCTCCAGCCGTCATTGATACCCACCATCCGGAGGAACCCAACCAGTCAGGAAGCTAGTCTACACCTCCCTATGTGACTGGCTTGAACTAACTATTATGGACTTCATGAACTGATTACATGTTTTGGTTTGACCACCACTAGAGATCTTTTCAGACCTGATCCATCCTATGTCAGCTAACATTTCGCGTCTGGAAAGGCAATGGTTAGTCATGTGTTACACATATTCTTACTTATTACTCGACACCGAACCTCAATACTACTCATCCTATTATGCCGCCTAAAATGGGAGATAGAACGCAGACACCTTTTGATCACAGATACCTAGCCTTTTCATGTCTTCCATTTTCAATGACCACTTCTCACAGCTAGCCATAAAGGGGGACAAAGCGGTCTGCTGAGCAGTATACACGTCTTTTGATCGATAGCCAGCCGGTTATCACGTCTACTCCAGAGACGGCGTAAGTTGGCAAATACCAAACGAGCCTTTCGTATCTGTGCTGAGATTTCGTCAGCAGTCAACCCGCGGGGAATGACGTAACTTCCCAAATAAGTGAAATGGTCAACACACTCTACCAGTTTACTCTCTATCTCCTAGCTAGGAGTCGATGTAGTCCAGTCCTGTAACATCTTGCATTTAACAGGAGCAAATCTCATACCTAGCGTTCAAAGATTCCCTCTCCGCAAGGTGTTCAAAAGATTCTGAATTTTGCCAGCGTCTTCACCTAGGAGAGCTTCATCATGAGCATATTCAAAGTCAATAAGATGGTACCCTGGTGATAAGTCAATCTCGAAGTCATTGAAGTCAGTTAGGGTTAAGTACATTAGTACATCAATGATGAAATTAAACAGAAATGGGGACAGTGGGCATTCTTGATGGAGACCACTGGTTGTCACCACTTCAGATGTGTGGTATATTTAAATGTTGTGTTCTACTTTATTTTATTTTGGTGTAGTCGTGTTCTCTGAGCTGACTGGTTTAGATGTGAAGCTTTCATTGCCTTACTCTGAGCAACGCAACATCGTCAGCAGCACTTCTCAACTAAGCTATCCAGCTCAGTGAATACAACCACATCAAAATTATCTCACGTGAACCACAAATCTTCCCCATTATACCTCTATAACTTTATTTTGTAATTATTTCTTAGGATGTTGCACAACAGTACAATGTTCGATCATTGCCTACATTTGTATTTCTACGTGGTACTTTACCAATCGATCGTATTACAGGTGCATCTGCTCAAAAGTTAAGAGATAAAGTTCAAGAGCTTGCTACTGCTGCACCAGACTCACAGGAGGGTGGTTCACAAAAAAGTACACAGTCTTCCAAACAAGTAGGTATTTTTCATCCTTTTTTTTCTTTTTATCTTATTAAATTTTCAAATCGTATAAAAAAATACCCATCTGTGGATATATTAGAGAGAAAAGGACAAGAAGTTCAATAAAGATGTTGGTTTTTTCGGCAATTTATTTCCCTAAGTACAGCTGTACAATAGCATTTATATACACAGGTTCATATAGATACAACTATTATTTCATACATTTGGTTCCCTTGATAAATTTCGATAGAGAAAGAAAGACCAGATATGCAGGTATAAAATGATATCATTCTATTTCACAGGTTCTCGTCAGCTGCAAACTACCTGAAATTACAAATAATATTTCATACTTCAGTGTTTCAAAAGTAATAGAGAAGACATTATAAGATGAACGTATCCGGAATATAAGTATTACGATTTATAGTTTAAGTTGCCATCATTTTATATACTATCAAACTATGAAAAAAGAAAAAGGGGAGGGGGCGAGAGAAGACAGAAAACAGAAAAATCTAATAAACACTGTTAGCTTGTACGTCAAAATGGCAACTCAAGAAGGTCAAAGTTCATCAATTTGAAAACTTGCTCAGTGAGCTGATCTCACTAGTGTGTATGACTAATCAGTGTAATTAAAGTGATATGGTTACCAAGGAAGTGAGAGATTGACTACGCTCTCTTTCTGTGTGCATAATTTTGGTCTAAGACGTTTGATTGCAATAGCTTCAGCAAATCGTAGTAGATTCGCTGTCCTTTGTATGTTTAGTATTTTGAAGGAATTGGAGATCTCGACAAAATCATCCGTATCCACAAGGTGTCTAGTAATTGCACTTTGTAAATATCTGCTTCCTTTTAAGCATAAGTTTCTCAGAATATGCTCTGAAAACCGGATATGGGCTCTTGTTTCTGTCCTTCCAATGTACTTGCTGCCGCAGGTGCAGTTGGAGGTAACATCAGCAGGGTATTTATCCAGTTTTGATTGTCTTATAGAGCATGTAGTGTTGTATATAGTGTCACCAGCTTGGCTGCAGGGAAACATCTCTTTATTGCTGCTTTCATCCTCTTTTCAATCTTTTGCGATACTGTTTCTCCTTTGTATGGGAGGCAAATGAACACTATCTTCTTTTCAACTGTTGGGTACTTCTCTTTCTCATCTCTTTCTTCACTGTACTTTAGGATAAATCCTTTTGGATACCCATTTTCCTTAAGGCTTAATTCTTCTTCCTTGTTAGGCGAACATGACAATTATTATTATTATTATTTAACTCTACATAATAACGAAGGAGGAGACTAAAGGTGATGGTAACTTTTAGCTTGATATGAAAGTTCGTAGGTGTGTGAATATACACTACAAGGAGCTTAGGATAAGAAATTATACGAGATTAGAAAGTAGTTGCGTAACACGAAAATAATATAGAATTCAAAGCCTCTGTAGCACTGTTGTATAAAGAAGGAACTTCAGGGGTCTTAAGTAGAATTCTGAATGATGCTGGAATTCGAGTGGCATTTAAACCAACCAACCATCCAACTCTCTCAAAGATAAACTTTGTCAGCGTAAGAACCCAATAAATCCAATTAAGAAAAATAATATAATTTACCAAAGACCGTGTAATGATTGTTAGTGAGGTCAATTACACATAGGTCAAACCACTAGTAGATCGAGGTCCATTAGACTATTGGAACATAAAAATCTAGCTAGACCCAGAATAATGGACCTTGATAAGTTAAATAAGCTAGAAAAAAATATATAGCTCAGTCATTGCATTGCGCTCACGTGCATGTAATCATCACACAATATGGTGAGTGGGATAAGGTGAGAGTATTAGAAAGTGATATAATTAGGTGGAGACAGAGAGAGGTTAATCACTAAAGCTTTGTTTATCGATTCAACTCCTCACACATGCATCAATCGGAATGATGCAACGCGTCGCCTATACCGGAGATATGGAGAGTGGCAACAAACAACAAAGGGAAGATGGAGAGAGAGGGAAAGAGTAAATTATTATATTATTATTGTATCCTTTAATTCCTAGAGGAACATAGGGCTTCACCCGTGTGTCTCCATTGCGTTCGGTTCTCTGCTAGAGTCTTTACCTGGCTCCAAGTCTACCCACACGCTTTCATCTCCTCTTCACATGATCTCCTCCAAGTCACCCTTGCACTGACGACCAACTCACTGCCTCCCTTTCGGGTTCCACTCGAGCGATGTCCTGTCTAGTGATGTCACTTGATGGTTTTCTAAGAGTATGGCCAATCCGTCTCCATTTCTGCCTGCCTATTTGTTTCACAATCGGTTCCTGGTTGGTTCGCTCCCAGAGATCTCTGTTGCTGATCTTTTCTGGCCGGCCATCAGATCTTGAGTAGTGTTGAGCGAAGACAACTGTTAATGAAGGTCTGTAGTTTGTTTGAGATGTAAATATATATAAGACAAATCGTGAAAATATCTGACTAGATTGTTATGATTATGAGTAGCAATAATTTATGCTCGAAACCTTGTCATCCAGTTGTTAATACTGCATCACTTATCTGATATGAAAGAAACACGAGAACTAAGGAGTCACACGAAACTAGATCCATGGTAAATGTAGAGGTTTGGCTACTGCCTTTTGAACATATAGGTCCATCTTCTCGATACATACAGAAAGGGCTTCTGCAGTATTACAAAGAATTCGGAAACACACAATCCCCTTGGTTGATTTTTGTTTACTTCATGAATGACTCTGAATAATGGATGAGTAGTTAGTTGAGATGTTGTCACAGGTGTTGACGTGGTGTTCAATTATGGCACTTCTGACTGAACTAATACTTTGTCTTTGCAGCCATGTTGGGTGATGTTCTCTAATATGTTTTGAAAACATGCGCGCATAGAACGACCTACGTACCTAGCTTCAGGAAAGGTCTTTAGGGGACTGAAGATTCCCCTTTATAGGATATCTGCCACTCAATCTCCCCTGAGGTTCAGATTCATATACAGTATTTTCTCTGGTTTTAAAGTACATCTGTCTCTTTTTGGCTTTGGTTGCATTTTATTCCTCACGAGGTGTGCCGGGTGTATCCATTTTGAGCCAGGATATTTTTGAGAAATAGTTCTTTTATAAGCAATCACTGCTACAAGTCCTTCTGATACGATGAGCCAGTAAGATGATAAGAGCTCTTTTTCAGCTCACAGGTATCGAACTGTTAAAGTTTGCCAGTTGGCCATTGTATCATCTGTTCTTGTCCATTCTACATCCAGAAATGGAATCTTCGATTCATTTTTTAGCTCCTTTGTGAATTTTGATTGAAGGGTGGGAATTCTTGAATTCTTGTAAGATACAGTTTAAATCCAAGTCATCTTGACAGACTGTAACGGTGTCGTCGATATACCTTTTGTACAGTAGTAATTTGTTTATTATTGATTTTAAGGTGCTGTCTTCCAAAAGTGGACCACGAGGATAGAATATCCCATGACAATTCCATCTTTCTGTCTGCAGAGAACAATTCTCTCATTATGGATAAGATTTTATTTTGATAAGTCACACAGTGTTTGTTATACAGTAATATTAACTGATGACCACCTTTCGAGCACAAACTATTGCCACTCATAATCATATCAAGTCACTCACTCACACAACTTTTTTCCTTCATTTATATACATGAGTGGAACTGACTAGATATCAATATTTTTTTTAATCAAGTGTTGGTTTACAGCGATTCGATTGGCTACAGGATTGATCACGTGCTGATATCAGTTACAGTACCATTGAGAAACCAGCTGGAGTGTCGGATAATGATTTCGTCCTAGTTTGACACTCTTCATCGGTACTCCAAAGCCTCAGGATGGTCGGGGGTGGGTGCCTTGCGCTGCGGGTTGGCCACCCCTCCGCACACCTCTTGAAATGCTCCCATATGACCGGGCGTCTTACATAGCCTCTCCTGAGGAAGTCCTACTCACTGCCTTCACGTGGCGGTGTTTTTCATCAAAGTGAGAGGGCGAAAGCGGATGCCCGGCGCTCTTCACCGGGTTGACTGTCCATTGGATGACAGTCTAGGGGAGATGGCTAAACCCTGATTCCAAACCTCCAACGACTGGCGTATGAAGCTCACTGGAGCTCACCGGTAGACGTATGGACAAAGGGCTTGTTGGATGTCCTGGATGTCTGGCCCCATTCAAAAAGGCGTATGAACCGAACTCCGGTCACCGGCTGCCAATGGATAGTGGACTCCCTACTCCACTCCTACTGCCTTGTAGGTCACACTTGGTTGTGTAAAGGCTAGAGCTGCACTCTCAAACAAAAGGCCGAGCGATTCTGGGGACATCACTCGTACCGAATTCCCATGAAACTTCATGAACTCTTGATTCGAGATGTTCATGAAGCCGGCTCATCCTCCCGTAGGAGACAGCCGAAGTAAAGTAAAAGTAAGTAAGTACTCACTCACCACAGAGATTTGGATCCAAGACCTTCTGGTTACAAGGCGAGCTCGTAGACTATTAAGCCACTGGGACATGACCGAGCGGTCCACGAATTTGCGGAAGCTGGAATCCACGGGCTATTGGGTCGTGTACCAATGGCTTAATGGTCTACGAGCTCGCCTTGTAACCGGAAGGTCCTGGATCCAAATCTCTGTGGTGGGTGAGTACCGATGAACAGTGTCGACCTAGGACGAAATCATTGTCCGACACTCCAGCTGGTTTCTCAATGGTACTGTAACTGATATCAGCACGTAATCAATCTGCCTTGTAACCGTAAGGTCCTGGATTCGAACCCCAGTGGTGGGTGCGTACAACCTGCTGAAGCGTTCGCAACCAGGCTGAGGAAACAGCTGTCCAGTATTCCCCTGATGGGTTTTCCAGTGGTTCTCTAGCTGCTTATGTCAACTTGTGATCAATTCTATTATATATTTTGGTTACTAAGTTGAATTGTCTTTCTCTCTTCATTATCGCTCACCATATTTTGTTTTTTGGTATTTTCTTTTACACATATAAACAGCTTGAATTAGATATACTCCTGTCAAAAAGTCAATGTGAATGTTTAAATGAAGATGATTCACATTCACTGTCACAATTACTCAATTCACCAGATGATGAGAAGACCTATTTACTCTCTGATACAGATGAACAGGTTAGTTATTATAGGAATGAGTTTATATATGTCTCTCTTTTTTATTATTATTCCCTTGGGTTCCTAGTGGAACATAGGGCTTCCACTGAACGTCTCCACTTGCTTCTGTCTTCTGCTGTGCTTTTCACCTGCATCCATGTTAGTCCATACTGTTTCAATTCCTGTTCACACGATCTCCTCCATGTCACCGCTTCCCTTTCGGGTTCCACTCGAGCACTGGCCTGAAGCGCGATGTCACCCAGCAGCAGTCTCCTCAGCGAGTGTCCAATCCATCTCCACTTTCTCCTGCATATTTGTTGAGTGATTGGTTCTTGTTTTTATTTGTTCCCTTAGTTTCTTGTTGATGATTCTTTCTGGTGGCCATCTGATCTTCAGTATAGAGCGAAGACAGTTGTTGATAAAGGTCTGCAACAAGCTGTTGGAAATATTTTTTGTGACCCGCCAAGTTTCTGATCCGTATAGAAGAACTGACTTGACGTTTGTATTGAAAATCGGAATTTTGTTGTTGATGTTGAGTGACGAAGATTTCCAGATTGGTTTCAGGTTGATGAATGTGTTTCTCGCCTTCCCGATTCTCGATTTGACAACAGAAGGGGAGTATAGTTCTGTTCAGGAGGTGTGCTATTTTTTAGAATTTTAATTAGTTATGTTCTCTGAACTACTTGGTTGATTTAATTGCGTAGCTTTCCTTGTCCCCCCCTCTAGACAACATCACTTCAGTTTAGGTATCAGTATGAAATGAATTTATTTGAATTCTTCATGCATCGTCAATTAATAGGTACATTGACATAGACAAAATTTATCAATCGATAAGAAGAAGAAATCTCATACATAAAGGGTCAAACTTCAGGTCAAGGAAGCAATCAGTACCAATACTACAAGCAGACTAGAGGGTGTGAAAACACACAAAAACAACCAATCACGTTCAAGGTCACCAGGAAAGATGACTTATAAACTCGTGGAGAAATCTAAAAGCTCACTTCAACAAATTGAAGTATGCGCTGAAGATGTTGCCTAGTAGAGGGGCAATGGAAGCTTCGCAAGTATAAACTACCCAGCTCAGAGGAGACAATTGCATCAAAATATTCTTTATGTATAAAAGAGGCGATAGAACAGTACCTTGATGGGACACCGGCTTTGGTAAGCAAGGCAGCGGAAGATTCGCCTTTATGTATGGTGTACTGTATTCTGTTCGAGAAATAAGAATGCAACCAGTTAACAGCTCACGACTTCTTGGTTTGTGTCAGGGAAAGCGTATATTATAACAAATAGCATTTGGGCACAGAGTCACTAGTAGATTTGCTGTCTTGGTAGGTACTTTGGACATATTTGGCTCCTTTGTGGGAACAGGAAACAGCAGCATTTAAACTGCTTCTGCCCTGTTTATATGCAAACTGTTTTCGGGTCAGTACAGTTTTCCAAGGACAGTTCAAGGTCGGGTAAAAGCAATTTCTCCGTTAATTTCAAAAAGGAGAAGTAATTGCAATAGGTCTAAATGTAACCTTAATATGAGTGTATGATTTAGGTATTGCGATAATTTTGGTGTCTTTAGATGCTATGAATACAACATTATCGGAAAAAGAAGCATTGAAAATATTGAAAAATCTGGGTCTTCTAGAGATCTGGATTACGCGGCGGATGATTTATGTTCAATGTTACACAGACTTGAAGGTGAAAACTAACAAACTGGTTGAAAAAGCAGCTAGGGAAGACAGAACTCCAACTGGACATAGAGAAGACGGAGGTGATGAAGATAAGCAGCGAACAGCAACAACAACCAGCAACAATCGCCATCAACGGGAGGGATTTGACAGAGGTTACTTCCTTCACTTATCTCACCAGGAAGCATGGTTTCAACCAAAGCAAGGTACACCTTCATCAATCTGAAATCGGTTTGAAAATCTGCGCTTACGATAAAGAACAAGGTTTGGATTTTCAACATCAATGCTGATTAGGTCAGTCGATTCTTTTATGTAGCGTGTGCGTCACGAGAAGCTTCTGAAAACTTTTATCAACAGCTGCCTCCCCCGCTGGCTCCATACTGAAGATCAAATGGTGTGCCGGTTGACCAGAACAAATTAGCAACAGGAAACGCTGGTGACAAACCAACCAAGAGCCGATTGCTCAACAAATATGTAGGAGAAAATATGTGGATATGGGTCGGGCATACGTTTAAGAGGCCATCGAATGACATCACGCGCCGGACCATCACTCGACTGGAACCCAACTGGGAGACGACGAGTGGGTCGTCGGCGCGATGGTGACATGTAGGAGGTCGTTTGGGGAAGAGAACATGAGAGAGGACAGCAGAAAATAGAACAAAGTGGAAATGTGGTGCCCTATGTTGAAGCCCTATGCTCCACTTAGAACTCAAGGGAACAATACTAATATAATTATAGTTTTGTCTTCAGAAAAGATCATATACAAATAAATTGATTGTCCTTTTTTAACGTCTGTATTTCTGTCTTGTTTACAGCTAATTATTTATGTTACATTCTCTCAATTTGTTCGAGTGCAAGCGGTGCAAATCAACGGACCTAAAGGTACATGTTTTGCTACAATTATCGCTATTATTATTATTATTGATATTAACATTGTTACTATTATCATTACAAAAGAATGTTGAGTTTTGATTGAGGGAGAATATCATGATATTTAACCTCCACAAACAAAAGTTCAGACAACTGACTGCCCCAGCTCGAGTTGCCACACTCACACCATGTAGCACACAAAGTAAGTCAAGACAGTAAAGAGAAATTCACCGAAAGAGAGATAATAAACAGAAGTGTGAATAATGGAAAAAGAATACTAGTAATATGGAAGAAGAATAGATTTTTATTGTACGTTACGTATAACAAAGATAGAATGCATCACCACCGTCATTAAGAACGAATTTGGGCCAGTTATATCACCAGTTGTCATTGGTACCCACCATTCTGAGGAACCCAACCAGGTAGGCAGGCAGATAACACCTCACTACATGACTGGCTTGAACTAACTATTATAGATTTCATGAATTGATTACACGTTTTGGTTTGACCACCACTAGGGATGTTTTCCAATTTGGTTCTATGTCAGCTAACATTTCGCGTCTAGAAAGGCGATGGTTAGGCATGCGTTAGACATATTCTTACCTGCACCGAACCTCGATACTACTCATCCTATTATGCAACTTAATATGGGGGATAGAATGAAGGCACCTTTGATCACAGATACGTAGCCTTTAGGTATCTCCCACTTTCAATGGCCATGTTTCAGCCATAAAGGAGAACGGAGTGAACTACAGCTGAGCAGTACACACGTCCTTTGATCGATAGCTGGATATCATCTCTCCTAGATGGAGGGAGGAAAAGTAAGAAAAATCACCACCCAAGTTGCCCTGTAATATACAGTAGGCGGAAATTTAGTCACTTCTCCTCCTGCGGTACGATAGTGAGAAGAGACTTTAAATGTTCTGACCTCCTATCACAAGGAAGTTGGGAGATATACCGCTGACTAATTTACTTCCTACAGTTTGTGCCTTTTCTGACATTCGTGCCTTCTTTCTAAAGCATGGATTAGTTGCTTGTGTACTACACTATTCTAGATAAGTACTTCAAAAATGTGGACCCATCTAAGTGTTAAAAAAGCCCCCTCGAAGTGTCCATAGCATTTGAAATGCCGTAGCTGTAACGCTATTACAATGTACAGTTGTTTTCAAATTGTGGCTTACAATAATTTCTAAATCCTTTCATTCCTTAACATCAAGCAGTTTTGTATCCCCTTGGAGTTACGACGTCTAGGATTTCTGGTCTACTTGCATTACCACGTTTTTTTTCTGGAATTATTCTGGAAGCTGTAGAGGTTGGACCGTTCACTGAATTTATCTAGATTACCTTGTTAGACTTATCTGTCGTCATTATTATTTGGAGTTTTCTAGATCTCAACGCCATCCGGAAGAATGAATAATTAGATTAGAGATACAAAGATAAAACTTGGGCACTGTGATAGCGTATAATTCCATTATGGAGAAAGATTTATTCTGATAAAGTCACACAACGTGTTGTACAGTAGTATTTGCTAGTGACCACATTTCGAGCACAATTTTATTTCTGCTCATAATCATATCAAGACACTACTCACACAACTTTCTAACTTTGTTTATATAATTCCATTATTTTTCATCGCTTGATTTGATTGGTAGTAATATCTTCCATATTTCTGGTATTTGCATTGAGTCATTTCTGTTGCATGTGTTGGGTGTAGATTGGATGAACAAGGATTCAGTAATAAACCTCTCTCTCCACCTACTTAGATTACTTTTTAGAATTTTAATCCTCTCCCACCCTATTGTGTGGTTCTGTGATAATGCATACAGTGCAATTGCTGAGTTTTTCTCCTAAATTACTTATCTTCTCGGGTTCAAAGATTCTAACCTTAGTTAAATTCTTGTGTTCTGACAATTTGACTACCCTTACCCGATATACTGGTGTGACCTATGTAGTTAACTTAACTCACAGTCATTGCAAGGTATTTTGTGAATTATATTATTTTGTCTAATTGGGTCAACCTACAGTGTCCTTCAGCCTACAGAGCTTGGTTCTGCCTAACAGGCGTTGTAGGTTTGAATGCCACCCTAATTTCCTGCTTTATTAGGAATCCTACTTAGGGCCTCAGATGTCCCCTCCTTATATGGTTAAACTGTAGACGTCTTATATTCTCTCTTACCTACGTTATGTTATCATTATTAGTTTCACCATTATTTTTATTTTGGCCTTTTTCAATCTTCCTAATGAATTTTAGAGGATAGTTATTCAAAACCAACGCCTCTTCTATCTGTTTTATTTCATCATTTAGGTCTTTTTTGTACTACTTAGTGCCATTGCTCGGTTTGCTTAACACTTAACTAAGCCTGCCTTAACAGTTAACGGATGAGATAAATTAAAGTCTGAATATCTAATAGCAGAATGCGTTGGCTTTTTATAAACGCTATTGTGTACAGTTTACCTTCTTCCATTCGT